AACATCTTTTCACCATTTTAGAGAATGGTGATAGAAGAAATAGTGATAGAAAATATAATTAAATTGACAAAGTAGTAGGAAATCAAAATTCTTGCAAAGTGTTTTGAAGAAGGAGTCAATTAATTTTATTATAAGTCTTTTTAAGATTATATTAAGCTAAACACACATTCTTGTTCATGTAACTTTTGAGATTTAATAGGAATCCCTTGTAGGTACCATGTGGCTGCAATTTATTATAAGGAATATCACTTTGAAAAGTATGTCTATAACTATTTTAAAATATAAGCTTATGAGCTATGATATGAATAAATCATTAGCCTATCAATATTCAAAATAAGTAGCCACACTCTAAAGAACTCATTTTGCCACCTCACTTAAAATAAGGTCTTGGTAACCTAAAGAAATTACAAAAAAAAAAAAAAGAGTTTGATAAAGACCCAAATCCATCAAAGCTGAGAAGATCTCACATCTAATAAATGTGAAAGGTGCCACAAATGTGGGCAGAGTAGTAGAAGTTCAAAGAACCCAATAGCAGGGCTTCAAAGTGCTTAACAAAGTTAGCCTAAGACCAAACCTCAAACATCCAAGATAAAGGTCTGTTGCTTTATGTTCATTCTCAAGAATACAAATGTTGTGATTACCAAGCTTTCTTTATTTTTTTTTTTAAATTTATGTAACTTTCATTTTCTATGATTGTATTTGAGTTGTAAAATAGTTAGAAAAAAAGCAACAAGTTAATAGCTAAAAAAATAAATAGCCTTCACAAGTTTAAGGTCAAAATTAGTAATCTAAAAGGAAGGTAGTATTATCTTTTCATAATACTCAAGCTCTTTGGCTCTTTGGTATAAAGCACATTTACTTTTCTACATAAGTTGTGTTAATCTTTTTGGGAGAAACGATAATAGTGTTGTGTCAAAATTAATGTAAAGTTGTTACAACAAGTTTCATCCTAGTCAAACAAATATATGTTGTAATTTGTCATCCTATATTTAATGAAATTGTATTAGTCACAATTGTTATTGATGAATGTATGTTATAAGTTTTGATTATTATAAGTTATTAATTAATGATAAATTTATGATAAATTCTATTTAAGCAAGTAAAAAATAGGGGTGTTAAAGGAGGTCAACTTGTCTCTTCTCATCTCGTGCCGTGGAAAGCCTCTCATGAAATGGAAGAGTTTCCTTACCTCATTTTTTAAAGTGTCCTAAATTTTCTACTATGACATGTTTAAGAATGGTACTAGATATTTATCTTTAAAGTAGATCCATTAAACTGACTTCATTTTGCCACGAAAAAATTATTCGTGGAACCTTTTTTTCGATTGATTCCAATTATGAATGGAATTTGGGGGTAAGGTTGTGAACTAGGTGAAAGCACCCTTTGTCAAAGAGTTAAGGAAATATTTTAATTTCAAATCTTCATTCCTAGTAAAATCCCCACATTCTATCAAATACCTAGTAATGTCCTCAATAATAGATTCCCTAGATTTTTTCGCAAACTTAGAAAACTTTAGTACTTTCCAACTCCAAGGGAATTCGGCTTGTAAAATCATCTCAGATAATGTAGAAACAAAATAGGGTTTATTAGCATACCCTACATCGAAACCATGTTCATTAAATACTAGTAATATTTTGAGGATTATGGTTGATATTTTGATTAACATCTCCTCGTACATTATTTTGTCGAATTCGCTATAACACTTCATCAGCATTTTGATTTTGAGCAATAACCAAAGCTTGGTTGGCTTGAGGGTTACCATCAATTTCTCTCAAATTATTTTGGTCAATTGAACCATTGCGACTAGGATTTTGGGCAAAGTTTAACTCTTCCCTATGGGGTCTTGTGGTGCCCAAAAATGTCGACAATTTGACACATATGTGCAACTAATGCTTGATAGTTGGTATTATTTTTTTTATTATTGAGTTAATCACATCAGTCATTTGGTGGGTTAACATATTGATTATTTCGTGGTTACTTTCATCCATTTGTTGCCTCAAAGATTATAACATAACATTTGAAAAAGAACTAGTGTGAATTAAATCCTTACTTGAAGCTCTTAATACACTTAATTGAGTTCTTTGTATTTCACCAATCAAACTCATTCCTAGTAGAATAGTATGGTTTATGGGTAACAAAGTTGTCATTATAGGATTGGAATACGTTTAATGAACTCCTAAAACAGGAAGAACAGACTCTGGGGTAAACCATATGGTGGATCTTGTTTAGGTCTTTAACTTGAACCTATGTCAGGATTACTAGGTAAACTAATCATCAATTGACTAACTATTGGGGATGAAGGTGTTTGCAATGCCATTGTTGGCACTATATCTACGACAATATTAGCACCACCGCTATTATTTTCTAGGTTAACATTACTGTTACCACCATCATTTTAGTTTCTTGAATTAGCATTCCTAGAATTATTGCTTCTACTTTTATTATTATTACTAGCCATGACATGACATCCGTTACGTAACAACATGCACCAAAAGTAGCAACATTCAAGCAAAAAACACACTAATATCATAATGTCCTACCGAACATGCCAATTTGTTTATGATAAATTTTACAATATGTAAATAAATAAATTCAAGAACAATATGTAACTTAAATTTAGATTCTCTTTGAGTTATTTTAAGTGTGTTCTTAACGTAATAATCAATCAACTTTGTAAAGCAAAGAATTAAAAAGTAGAAGTACAATGAAATAATATTGAAATAAATATAAAGAATTATAGAAATAAACTTGAACTAAAATAAATTGAAGAACTATAAACGTATAACTTTCACAGCAAACACCGAGAAATATTGAATCTTCTAGTTGTCGGGTTTAGCTTAATGTAGAACTTTGGCGTGCAGAGAATTTGAGTGCTAGTGTTTAGTGCAAGAATCCGTCCTCTAAAACATAAACTTTCATCCTATTTATACATAATTTAGACTCAACCACTTCTCACATGTTTCTTGATAATCACGCCTACTTTGTCGCACACGATATGCTCCACGTATCTTTTTCTTCAACTAGTGATAATTGCTCCGAGGCTTTCTATTTTTCAACACATTTCTTTACATTTTGAATCTCCTTTTGTTGCTTGAACTTATAAAAAATCCTACATTCACTCTAGTCATTTCGACAACTCTGCTTAATGAACATCTCAAAGTATCTTCTTTTGACTAATATGAATATAAAATGAGGCATTTCTATCAACTTGTATGAAGACATGTCGAAACTTAATCTTCTTTACTGAACCTCCAATTTCTTAATCAACAAAAATTAACAGGAAAGAGCTTAATATTACAATTCTAGTCAAAATTCGCCTTCCATACTCTTCGAGATCTACTACTTATCCATTCATTGTGAGCTCTATTAATCAGGTCCTATAACTTAGAAAAAGTTTTCTTCTCCCAAACAAATGAGTTAGTGTGTTAACGGGCCAACTTGTTAAAAATTAAAAAAAAATAATAAGAAAAAAGTTAACACACCAATAGGTTAACAAGATAACTTGCCTAAAATAAACATAATAATAAAAAATTTTATAAAAAAATATTTAGATAGTATTTTTATATTACTAAAATTATATATATATTAAAAGTTTAAAGAGGGGCTTAATGGATTGGCTTCCATTTTGGCATGTAAAACTTTCAACCCAACCAACCTGTCATTTTCAATAAGGGTCAACCCACTTTATTATATTTAATCACAAATAAACCAAGTTTAAACTTAAAATAGAACTTGAACTTTGAATAATGATAATGGAATTTAATTTTTCTCTTTCAAACGTCCATTTGCTTACATAAAACAAACATTAAACAACAATTGACAGAAACCGAATTAGGATTACGACAACTAATACAGAAAAATCATAATTCTCATTCCTAAACCAACAAAACAATTACACAAAGCAATTACATTTCTTCATACAAGTCATGCACACTACCACACAAATTGCCAATAAAGTTACAAGAAACCCCAAAATCAATTTCCATTTTATGCTTTGTAGCTTCAAGCAAAAATTCAGTTCAGTCATGGGTTAAAATAATCACAACATCTACCTTAGCATCTATAACACAACAATTATTCAAAGTTTCAAATGGAACTTTACAAGTGAGATTCATCCATGGAAAAATACGCATCTTCAAAACCTTCTAATGGAATTATTTGAACTCTATGATGTTAAGAGTAGCACTGGTTCACTACATTCACATACTTTGCTTTGTGAGTTAGAAGTCGAAGTTCAGATCTATTGCTTGTAGCATTGAATGTGTTTTGCTCTCCAACACTTTTATGAGCTTGACAAGGAAGAAAACAAAAATGTTGTGAACCCTAAGTTTAATTTTATTAAATTATTAATTTAATTACATGCCAAAGTGAATCTCGTATTAGATTAATGAACTGATACATGGACTGCTACGAGGCACTCTATTTGCCACACTCACTTAACAACAATTTAACACTAGGGACTAAATAAAAATTATATTTGAGAATAAGTGACCAAAAGAAAAAATGAAAAATTTTGCAAGGACTAAAATCATATTTATGCCTAAAATTTTTGTTGTAACAAATAATGTTTTGATTGAGATATATGATATAAAATAATAAATTTCAATAATCATTTATTTAAATATCTAATAATTACGTTTATTTAAATATCTAATAATTACGTATGATAATATGCTTTTTAAGATAAAATAATAAATTTTAAAAATCATGTGATATTTTTATCAATGATTTTAAATTAAAAATACAAAATATTTGAACTAGTCCTCACTCCTTAATCCCCCGTTTTACTCATCAAATTCTTACTAAATTCCAGCTGAATATCCATAAATTAATTTTATTTCGCAAATTGTTGGTTTTCCAGTTAAAATAAGAAAATTAATGAAATTAAATTAAATAACTTTTCGTTTCAAAACTGATTCATTCCATAAACACTATTATATAGTCCGCATGGTCTGTTTTAAAAACTAAAAAGAATGGGTCGGTAATTATAAAATCACGTAGAGCTAACAAATATTATCATACAAAAATTTCATATACATAATCAGGAACGTTTACAAAATTTCACCAAAAACAGTTCAGGTACGAGAGTACAAATTCAAGTGTTTGAATAATTCATGGGGTTGACTCGCAAATCTCATTCTCTCTCTCTCTACAGAATCTGTCTTTCTTTTAAATTGGACATAATAGAGACTAGACATTACAAAAGGTTTCCATGCATATATCATATGAACAATTTCCTTAACAAATGAGAAAGATATGAGGGTGCAAAGTTACGGTTTTGAAGTGTTCGAACATTTCATGTGGCTGAGCCGCTGACCGTGCATATGATCAAAGCCCCTTCACGTTAAACAGCAATATGCAATCAACATTGAACCAATTAAGAAAAAGGGAAAAACTATTTGAAGGCAATATTCAGCACTGGAGAGTAAAGGAGTGGTTTTCTATTGGAGCATCATCCAGGAACAGTCCTTCAATTGGAGCAAATACGAGCTAAGAACAAGCCTGCACAGCATTCTCACTAATTTCACTACATATCTGCAAAAAGACAACACTAAAAACTACCTAAGGTGTCCATCTAAATTGATCATATTTGTTGAAGGTATAAACCGAGAAAAAATGCATAAAAAAGAATTATAAAGGAAGTGAATGCTTGCAAGGCTGGCAGAAGAATGTAAAAAATCTGAAGCACTCTAGAATTAAACTGTAGTTGCATTGTGGAAGCATAATCTAAGATAAAAATTTCTCCTTAAGGTATTGTTTGTTGAAAATCTGAAGTTTTCCAAGATAGTTATACTAAAAATTGTTGCATCTTTTGAACAAAATATCATAAATCAACATTTCATTGGACTTTGAATTGAATACAGTTAATTTCCAACGTTTTAATAATAGAGATGAATGTACCTAGAAGCAAAGGATCTTCTAGGAAAGGGGAAGAGCATGGCTTCAAGCTGAATCATTTCTACCATCTAGAATGAAAACACAACTTTATTAGGAATTTCTCACAGGTACAAATCTTTGAAGTGATCAGACCAAAAGTTGTTGACATCACTGGATAGCAAACATGCATGTTCAAAAAATGATGAAAGGGAGCAAATATGTATCCGCCATGTATGAAAGGAAAAAATAACTCAAGGCCAATGCGAGCCAAAACTTCTTTAATAGATCCCATGACACAGTGAAGACATATTTTGATCGGGCATGTGAATGGACGACAAGGGAATTGCAGGCATACCTCTTAATGTCTGATTGTAATGTGGAAGGAGTGCTTACTTGACAGCCGTGAATTTTGTAGTCCTCATCCCTGAATAGACATATGTGCCAACTTTTAATGATGCAGCATTATAACCATCAGCATTAAAATTAGCCCATTCGGAGCAGTGGTCCCCGAGAAAGGCCAATAACTTTTTTGATGCACATTAGATGTTCATTGAGTGCTCTCTATCAAGACATCACCAATAATCTCCACAGGAACATTTTCCTCCAACAATTCGATGAAATCGGTTTTTATCCCTCAAAGACACTTCTCTTCCATAAATCTTTGATATATATTTGGCAAAATTATGGCAATCAACACAAATACGGAGATTTTTTATTACACGAATTTGCACACTGTCAGGAGTAGCAATTAGCCCAAAAGACAAAGCCAACTTTTCACTGTGACCCAGAAGTATCTTCTCCTTCTGCTCCTCATCCACATCATGTAAAACACAACTCAAATCAGGAACATAACCAGCTTCTTTAAACCTGACTGATAATTCCTTCACTTTGGCAGATACTTCTTCTCTCCTTGGATGGGAACGATCACTTGCATGGAAAGTGTGAAGTACTTGATCCAGCTCAATCCAGCTTCTTCCAGGCTCTTTTATTACAGCCTTTTTCAACATCAGGTCCCTTAGTGATCTTACATTTTCCCATCTTCCTGCTGAAGCATATAAATTAGACAGAATAACATAATTTCCAGCATTTCCAGGCTCAATTTCTAGAAGCCGATGACCCACAAATTCACCAATGTCTACATTAGAATGAATCCTGCAAGCACCTAAGAGTGAACCCCACATAGCTGCTGTTGGTTCAGAAGGCATTTTTTTTATGAACTCAAAAGCTTCTTCAATTCGACCAGCTCGACCAAGCAAATCAACAACACATCCATAATGCTCAGTCTCTGGCTGAATTCCAATCTTCCCACTAGCGATGTCATGAAAAATATCCAGTCCGCTGTCTTCCAGTCCTGCATGACTGCAGCCAGATAACACAGCCAAAATTGTAACACGGTCAGGTCTGACTTTGTTTTCTTCTCTCATTAAAGTGAAAAGCTCAAGCACTTCTCTTCCCTCTCCATGTTTGCTATACCCCACAAGCATAGCATTCCAAGAGATGACAGTTCTCTCATGCATTGTATCAAATATCCTTCTTGAGTAAGTGAGGTTTCCACATTTTGAGTACATGTCTATCAAGGAGTTTTGAAGAACCACAAATGAGGGAACTTTAGAGCGAAGAACATGGTTGTGCACTTGTTTGCCATGATCTAGAGCAGCAAGCCCGGAAAGTGCAGTTAAAACACTAGTGTAAGTAACATAATTTGATTCCATTCCTTCCCCTTGTAACCGGCGAAATAGCTCTAATGCCTCTTCATCCAGACCCAGTTGAGCATATCCAGTTATTATGGCAGTACAAGAAACTACATCTCTTTCTGGCAAGCATTCAAATACCCCTCGAGCTTCATGAATTTTACCAACTTTGGCATACATGTCAAGAAGAGAGCTTCCAACATAAACATGGGCTTCATAATTCAATTTTACGATAAGAGAGTGGATTTGCCTCCCTAAGATGAACCCTAGAGAACCTGTACATGAAGTAAGCACAGTAGCAAAGGTGAACTCATTAGGTTCTGTACCTGCAAAAAAGCATAGCTATTGTCAGCACAGAGAAACCATTCACGCAGCGAAACAAAATTCTCAAGCCAAGACACTATGAAAAAGAAAAACAGTCTTCTTCTAATGTCTCCTGATAACATGCTCATCATAAGCTCAATAGGTTCTTCCAATTCAATGAAGGTCATAATCAATATTAATTGTTAACAATTACCTCCTTTTCAAAAGAATCTTAATAAATAGAATTCTAAATTATCAACTTGGACATGACAAGTGTCAACATATTCTCTCCCACATAAAGCCAATACACGATAAAGTATGAATATAAAGCAAGTAAATGTATAAGGTGAAAAAGCAAAGACACATACTCTATTAATTTAAGAGGAGTGCTAGTAAGTAACACACTCTTTTTAACATACTATTTTTTATTGGCTAAAATTTATTGAAAACTATAAAACTATGAGTAAGAATCATTGAATTAAGAGAGATAAATATTACATTATAGTGGAACCCACATATTTTGTGTTTTTTAATAATTTTAACCAATAATTAAGAATTTATAAAAAGTGTGTCAAAGGGTGTGATATTAGCATTTCTCTTAATATAGAGTTAGTTAAGATTATGAGATATTTTAATTCAAATCAATAGTAGATGTACTTTTACTTTCTCACTTTACATATTGGCTCATTTTAAAAGAGCTAAATCGTAACAAATAGGGGCAGATCTTGACTAAAACTTTTGGGGGAGCATCGCCCATTACATTATGGATAAAATGATTCTACTAAAATTCATATTAATTATATACAGCTTTATCAAACTTTTAAATAACACATAAGGCATAACTATGTTTCTAGTTCTTATAATTTTGTGAGATATTAATTTTAGTCACTATTTTGTTTTTTGGCCTAAATTTTCTAACTCCAACCCTTTTAGTCTCTCACTGATGTAGCACAACTACAAAAATTAACACGACAACTTTTTAGTTAGTCACATCATCACTAGGAACCAAAAGTATTAAATTTAGAAAACTAAGGGACTAAAGCCAACTTTTTTAAGGGATTAAAATTAAAATCTTGCAAAAATATAGAAACCAAAAACATATTTAAGCCATTAACAATAATAAAACATATAAAAGAAAACTGATATAAATAATTCACTTGAAGTGGAATGATTAATATTGGCGTTGTCTAAAATTTTTTTTTATATTGAAGTATATGTAGTTAATAAAATTTTGGAGGAGCTGCTTTACAAGTTCCGCAACTAGAACAAATCTACCCTAGTTACACAATTACAAACGATAACTACAACTCTCATGAACATGTACACACTCCAAACCAAGAATACCTGCTCTTAACATCTGAACAAAAAGATTCAAGGCTTGAGAGGCATACCCTCTCTTAGAATAAGCCGAAATCATAGCCGTCCACGACACGACATTCCGCTGCGACATTTCATCAAACACATGCCAAGCATCTTGCAAAGAATCACATTTGCTATACAAGACAATGAACCTTGTCCTGAGGTACACAGAAGGAAGATAGTGAGTTTTGATGATGTGGGCATGCACTCTCTGTCCTTCTCTAAAGGCCCTTTTAGTCACGCACTCGTTTAAGACTGTGTTGTAGTCTTGGAACTTCGTGTCATGGCCACGAAGGGTCATTTGTAAAAGGGCTTCGTGTAGGTGAGTGTCACGGCTAAGAGTGCTGAGAAAGTGTTGCGAGTTTGAAGGCAAAGATGGAAGATGCAGTTGTTGGAATGAGGTTATGGGTGTGGAAGATAAGACGTGTCTTGCAAGACGCATGCTTCCGAAACAAGGAGAAGGTCACGATGTTTAAGATTTTCAACACAAACTTTGCATGTGGAGGTTGCAGCAACAGCAAATGGAGATCAAACTACAATATATTTTTTTAATATTATATTTCAAATTCACTCATCAAACTACACGAGCACATGTACTTATTTATGAAACTTATATTTCATTGGGAGACTACTTGAAGATCCATTTTTTTTCCACGAGAATATGAGTAGTAAGTTATACAATTCTAATTTTATATATTAGACGTTATCAGATTTAACGCATTAATATTTTTAATTTCTTGAGATATTAAAACATATAATACAACATATTTTTTAATTTCATTTCAGAACACTTTAAAAATACATCAAAACAAGCTAGTTCACCTTGTATTGACAAAAATTTGTTTAAAAATAGGCTAGCTGGCCCATTTCATTTACTCTTTATACACATTTCTACACTATTTTTCTCTTTCTTTAAATTTTGACAATTTTTTCTTCTCTTTTTTATCCTCTTCAACATTTTCTTGTGAATTCAACAATTATTATTTTTTAAAATGTATAGTAAATAATTAAATATAATGAATCCAAATTTATATTATTACTTGAATACTAGGACTTTAAAAAAGATAGTGAGTTATGTTTAAAAAAAAGAAAAATATTTGTTGAAATTTAAAGGGTAGAGAGGAGAAGACTATAAATGATGAGTAAGAGGAAGAAGAAAGAAAAATAATAAACTTTTTGTCAGTTTAAAGAAGGAGAAAAGTGAGTTTAGAGATGTTGATGAAAAGATATAAAAATAAACTAAGCTAAACTTTAGATAAGTCTAATTTATTTAATAAGTTTAAAACTTAAGTCTATCTTTTTATTTTTATAGACTTTTTGTTAAGTCTATTATAATATTTTTAAAAATTTGAATTAATTTATTAATTTTTTTAATAATTTACTTTATGTTGAGATATTTAATAGGCTATTAAATCTCTTTATAAATAGTTAAATAGACTATCAAATATATAAATAGGTTTGTCTCTATAAAGGTCATAAGATTTATATTTAAATAAACCATAAAAAATAGTTCAATACCTTGTATATTTATAATAAAATTATATTTTATTTATTTATCATTTTTAAATTATATATTTAATTTAAATAAGTAAATCACTAAATATACAACAAACATGGATTATTCTGTTATACAGACAATCAAACAACTCCAAAAAAAAGGATTATATTTTTTAATTCAAGATTTATTTATTTTAAAATTTAATTTATTTAATATAATATTATATAATTTTTATATAAAATTATTTAATATATTATTATAAATTTATGAGTTTTAAATAAGTTATTCTATTAAGTCTAATAAGTTTTTTTTTAAAGTTCAAACTTAGCTCATTCAATTAATTAAGTCTTTTAAGAAACCTTGAATTAACCTATTACTTATATAAATTAAGTTAAGTTAAACTTTAAAAATATTAGTAAGTTTTTGTTGAACAACTTAACCTACTTTCATTCTTAATAAAAGATAGGAGGGAGAAGAAAAAAAAAGAGACAACTAAAAAATTTGACAACAATAATATTTTAATGGAGCTAATATATTTTTAAAAAGAGATTTATTTAAAATATTTTTGTAAGTTAAGGAAAAAAAGAAGTTAAAAGACCAAATCAAAATAAAATTAAGAGTTAAGGTACTAATTTACTAATTTAATCTACTTTTAATAAAAACAAAATAATTAAATATATTTCTTAGTTTTTGTGTCATAATCTTAAGCAGTTATTTAATTAGAGTAAAATAACTTGAAAACCAGGATAAAAAATTCTAATTAGAAAAATTAAAAAATATAATTAAGTAAAAAATTTATAATAAATATTTAAATAATAAAAATTTATGCTTAAATTTGACATATTTTTTTGTTTATTTTAAAAAATAAAAGAAAAATATTATTGTAAAAATTGCTTCAAATTAATTTTTTATACCTTTTCTTATTTGGTTTTGACTGATTTATGCTTTATTAATTTTTTTTTACTATCTGAACTGATAATCTAACTTATTCCCAATTCAACTAATGTAACTGCCGTATCTAATCCAATTTTAATAATGATACTTTCAATTGAATAATATCACATTATTAACTAAAAGTAAAAGAAAACATTATCCACACTCGCATCATCTAATTTCATGTATAATCTATCTATTTAATTATTTATTATATAAATTAAACAAAAGTTTATGGTGTATCTTTTTTAGAGTGTAGCTCTTTTGCCACCATATTTTGCAAGAAAATTATAACGGTGCCATTCGACAAGAAAATTTGTCATAAAACATCATACATGGCATGTTATTAATTATTATAGTAAATATGATGCTTATACCTTACTAAGATTGATTATATGGTTTAAACATGTAATGACAGTGTGACACTTCGACATCATGTTGCAAGCTTGCTTGGAACATCATACAAAACAATTAAATCAAATTTCCTAATAGCTACATCCAATCACAATTTTTGGAATGATAAATTTCAGTGGTTTGTGTGGTAGATCCCCACTATTTTCTTCCAAAGTTGCACAAAACCATTGCCCCTCTCTATATTCCATTTGCTAAGAGAGGGTTTTTGACTCTATTTGCTGCTTGTGTACAAGCCAGAATAAAAATTAAGGAAAGAGATATTATTCACAGTTGAAGGCCTAAATTCCAAAGGATCATTCCTCTGATTTACATGATCTTTTGACCATTTCATTTTCACATTTTTTACCTCAAGGCCTTCAATGTGCTCCATCATCATGCCTGCAGTCTTGTGTTTCACCAATTCTTGGCATCCTGGTCTGTAGTCAAATAATTCACCAGTATCATTGGTGATTCTCTTATAAATTAGATCTACATTGATGAATCTTAAGTTTCTTAAAAGTCCTCTTTTTGAACCAGATAGGAAGACACCATTTTCTGAATTTGCAGTAATGTTGGTGAACAGTATATTTGAGATTGAACCTTCCTTTGAGGTTGAGTTTCTTGGACAAGTTGTCACATAGATAGGCTCAGCTCTCCCCCACCATGAAGGATCATGATATCTGGTGCTGATATTTATGTTTGAGAAGATAATGTCACTTACATTTCCTGTACAAGCAAGTTGACGCTATCTTAAAACCATTCCACTAGCCTGGAAATTTCAGGTATGTTTGATTTGCGATTATTTTTCTTTTTTCTTTTTTTGTATGATTTCATTATTATTATGTGATTTCCTGTTATACCCTTTTTACCTCACTTATTAAATAATTACTCCTTTATTTTTAGTTAAGGGTATAATTGATAAAAAAAAAAATTGCCATTGTCTTAAACTTTTAAAACTAATAGAAAAATAAGAATATTTCTTTTTTTTTAAAAAAAGTGACCTAAAAAACTGAAACAGTAATTTTATAGATTTGTATAGAATATAATAGAAACATTTTTTCATTATTTTATATATAAATCTTGAAAAAAATGACATTTTTATAATTATTTATAATACATAAAATATAAATAAGATATATTTTCTCAATCTAAACAGGCTTAAAACTTTTCTAGTTATGATAATTGGTATACTCATGTTAATTAGATTTTAACCCAAGACCAATTTATCAAAAGGAGAAAGCAAGAAGAAAAAGGTTACCTCCATCACGGATTTGGAATCCCAATCCTCTATGAGAATCTACAATGGTGATATTGTCAAACACAAAATGTTTGAAATCAAAATAACTAGCACTGCCAAGTTTAATAGCAGAAGATTTGGTTCGAATCCAACAATTAGTAGCTGTAAGGTTGTAAACAGGGGCAGTGGAGGACTTTGGACAGATTGCATCATCCCCCGTGTCAATATGGCATCGTGTGATTACTGTGTTGTTTGAGTCTTCAATGTCTATGCCATCGTTGTTTGGTATGTTGAAGTCCCCATAAATTGAAATATCCTGAATGGATATGCTGTTGCTCCGTACTAAGTGTAAGCTGCAAATTTATACAGAGCAAATGTATTTATATAATATTTTTGCACAAAACTTATAAAATAAAACCGAGATAAGAAGAATAAAGATAAATTTATGATAAGGTGATTGATGTAATATAAACAATAATGTTAAAAAGTTTATAGAAAATTATGAATGATAAAACTCATTATATAGAGAAGAAAAAACAATTTCCTTGGTTGGAAGCAATAAGAACATCTAATAAAATAGAGAAGAAGCAGACTACTTAGATTAGCTGGTTTTCCTTTCTCTAATCTATTTTATAAGACACATTAATTAAATTATATATTAAAAAAATATAGTTAGTTACTTTTTATATTTTAAAAGATATTATAAAATAACAATTTTACCCTTATTTAATATAATTGTATTTTAATCTCATTGTCAACTTTGAAGTTTTATGTTTGAATACATATGTTATGTAGTCAATAAATTTAAGGCAATCTTTTTGTTTAAGTTTTCTTTAAACCATACTTTTTATTATAAAACTAAAAAAAAATACAATTTTTTTTTGTGAAAATTTAATTTTATATTTAAATAAAAATTATTGCAAGTGAATAAAAATAATAATGAATTAAAATCAAATATTTTTAATGAAAAACTCTATAATTATTAATTAAAATTTTTTATTTCATAAAACAACTTTTTTATGATTTATTATAATGTTCAATATTTAGGCATTGCCTTGGACATTTGACTAGTCTAAATCAAGGCAGGTGGAATCACAATTTTTTTTTAGAATTTATTTTTTTAAATCATAAATTGTGTAAAGTAAAAAAAAATATAATTTTTTCATCTTTAATTTCAATTAAAATATTTTATAAATATCATCAACTTTAAAATCAACAATAATAAACTCTTAATTTTAACTTCATACACCTTAGTAAAGGGAACAATTTTCAACCAAAATCATCAATGTTCTTCTAACATACTAGACAGTTGACCAAATAAGAATTACTACATGCTACAAAACTCTTGTTTTAAGTTTTTATATTTAAACAAAACAGTTTGTTTTTAAATACTAAAACTCAAAATACTATAGTTTTTAATAAACTTTTAGCCTTAAAGATGTTTGTTTTTGTTCCTTAATTAAAAGTTAATCTTATCCAAGATCGTCCTAAGAAAATTATACTTGTTCATTCATTCAAATTCCAAATTCAATTTCATAAAAAAAAACCAGAGATAGAACACTGGTGAGAGGTAGCATACCACCAGTAAGCAGGTTGATAGAGAGTAATATTGGAGACACTAACAGAATCACAACCGATGAAACCGATTAATCGTGGCCTACACTCATCTCCCAAACACGCCCCTGTCTGATTCCAACTCACCATCACGTTCTTCCTCTCAACTTCCCTAACCACAAATTTCTCCGCCTGTCCATCCACAACTCCGCCGCCGCCGATCCCCACCTCCGTCGCGTTCTCCGCCACCACCACGTACCACTTCGCCGGATCCTCCGGGTAGTCCTCCTGCCTCGCCCCTCCCACCACCCTCGCGCCCTCCTCCACGTTCAACACCACCCCCGACTTCAGGAACACCGTCGCCGTCAGGTACCTCCCTGGCGCCGGAAAATTGACCTGGCACCGCCGCTGCTCCGGGCAGGAGTTTATTGCCCCCTGGATTGCTCCGGTGTCGTACCTAACGCCATCGCCGACGGCTCCGAAGTCGGTAACGGAAACGGTTATGGGATTCTGAGGGAGTGACGTGGCATAGAGTGATTGGATGAGGTGGAATGAGAGTATTTGAATGAGGAAGAGGGATACATTGGCCATTGTAGTTTGTGCCTATCGATTTTGTTATTCTTCCTTTTTATTTAACATGTGGCACCCTTTTTTCTAACTTGATGTCATAACCAATCTTTCAATAACGATGTAGTTGATTCAGAATCATGTGATGCATTATTATTGTGTATTCAAACTTTTATACCATAAATTATTTTTTGAAAATGTATATCACCTGTAATGGAAAACGAATTATATATAAGGAAATGATTTTTCAGAAGATATCTTTTTTCAAACTAGTTAAGAAAAAAATAATTATTTCTTTAAAGCAGAACTAAATAATTATATACTGCTTAGTATACTCTTAACATAATTTTTATAAGATCTTAATTAATTATGGAAATGATCATACTGTGTGTTTGAAATACGTTGATGAGCTTATAAATCTAAATCTAACTCAAAAGTTATAATTATTAATGTTAAAAAAAATTAAGTTGTATAAAGTTACACATGATAAAACATTTATTATAAATAATTTTTTATTGCTTGTAATATTATATACAGACTAAAAAAATTATGAAAATAAACATGGAATCATCATCATTTAAATATTATTTTTACTGAGAAAGGCACAGTTTCGTCAAATAAAAGGAAATTGCATATTCAGAAAGTCCTGTTTCAGCTTGATTCAGAATATGAAAAGAGAGGATGATTTGAAGTATAATCAAAGTTTTCAACGAAAATGATAAAAATGAAAATTATACTTCAAACTTTGAAAAATGAATGCCGTGTCGTGTGCACCACTTTTTCCTCCTTCGATAAAGATTGATACCGAGATTTTGTTAAAAATGGTTACATTTTCTTTTCAACAGCAGAAAACCATGTTACTGTTCATTGGATGATTTTATGAAAACTGAGTTAACCGTTGACCGTATGAACACTGATCCGATAATTGAGCTCCGATTATCTGTTTGCTTTATTCTTAAAATCAATTCTTCTTATCGTACACACGTTTTAATACAAAATCTTCAGTTCAAATCAATTTCAAAACGCATGTTAATTACGCTTAATGGTTCAAAAATAATTGTACTTAAACTAAAACAAACATTTATTCTATTTTTAGACTCCAATTGTTTGGATAATTTATGGAAGCTTTGATGATGCAATAACTATGATATAGACCTAGATTATTATCCTGAATATCTTAGTTACAAACAGTTAAAAATGAAACAAAAAATTGAAAATTTTTGAATGTAAATAAAAATAAATTTAATTCTAAAATCAATTTTAATTTAATTCATGAATTTGTTTTTTAGTTTGAATTTCTTGAATGATCGTTAAACACGTATTTTTAACCGATTTACTACAATTTCTTTAAAAACATTTTGACATTACAGAAGTAATGAATTTGACATACACAAATTATTTAGAATTATGTTAACACGATCTAAGATTAAATTAAAAATACTTATGATAAAATTGTAAAAGTAAGAAATAAGGAATTGTAATATTGCCTTACAGAATTGAATTTGTAGATAGGTCTATATAATTACTCGTCCATCATAATGTAAACACAAACACATGTTTAAAAGCAATTATCGTGAAAATGTTAAAATGAAATTGCAAATAAGAAAGAAAAAAATTAAAAAATAACTCAAATTAACTCCAAATAAAAAGAATGACAAAAACATGAAAAAGACGGAAGTTAAAAAAAAAATTTGATTCCTTTAAGTTCTCACTCTTTTATAGAGCTAACTCTAAACTAAACACAAGCTAACAAGTTCAAAAAGTAAAATGGGTCACAAAGTCCAATTAGGCCCAAATTTTAATTGCAAACTACTAATAGATACTTAATTATCTTAATTCTGGTAACAAAATCAAAAAGCCAACTTCAAATACTTGTAACGTTCGGCTTAGAACTCCAAATCTAGCAGATGAGATGTCAAATTGAAGTTCTTTGAGTTATCTTTTTAACACAATAAAAATCACTAAAAAACTTCGTTAACGCCAAGATTTATAACTAAAATAGTGAGCAAATGTTAAAAGTACTAAAATGTAAGAAATAGATAAAATTATTAATTTAGGCCCAAACAAATAAATCTAGCTTAAAACAGTAAAGTAATTGTATAAATAGTGTAAAGAGATAGTATTAAGAACGCTAAAGTGTCACTATAATATGATTCATCAATAATCCCTAGAATTATTACTGCATCCTTTGTGTTGAGTACCACATTCATATTCATAATAATTCAAACATGTCTCCGACTAGTAATACCAAAAAATAATAATTTACTTTGCAAATAATTATATTAATTATTTTTCAGCTTATTAGTTTTAGATTAGTTAATTTGTTAGCTTTTTTCTTCTTTTTTTTTGCAATTTGTTCAATTTCTTTTCCTACAATCTACAACTATCTTTTTTTCTCTTTTATGTAAAATATATTCATTGTTATGATATCATAGGTCTCTTTAGAGAGAGAATTCTAATGTGTAACTCTTATTAGAACATGCAAAATTCTACATGTCAATACTACATTCACCTAAATGTAAATCTTTCAATAGTTCTTGTTTCTTCAATTTTACCTATACAAATTATCACACTTGGTTTAAGTTTATGAAAATGAATTTGTTAACAAAAGAACAAAGTACATTTCATCAATGGAACTATCCAATAACCAAATGCTATTTGTAACACCTTAAATTTAATTTCCATAAATAAGAAATTTCGCAAATTTTTGAGATAATAAAATTTTTATTTTTAATTCAAGTTTCATTAACCATTTCAAATAAAGGAAGATGTTACAAATTATATCAAACAATTGCTATAAGATTTATTCAAATACAACAGTTTTCCAAAATAATATCCTAAGTCCTATAGCAGTTTCATCCACCCCTTCACTGAGTCCGGTGCTGATCGTCTTGATTACCTAGAAAATGAATGTAAGGGTGAGTACTCTACACTACCCAAAAACACACAATCAACGTAGAGTCTCACCTCCAACACATTTCTAATACATTAAACAAACACCATCACAAGTAGCATTCCATATCCATAGGTACAGTAACAAAACTCGTGCATACACACACCAACCACACTCACTGTGGTATTGTAATCACAGATTTACACCATGAATAGTCGGCGGTTACCCCTGCCTCACGGATACCACGTGGACAGTCACGAGTCGCTTAACAAAGATAGCGGTCAGAGGTCTAGTAAGGAAGAGAGTGTGTGGCCCGTGGTGCACCCGTTCTGCAGTTAGTGTCACCACCACTCCCTCTTTCCTAAGGTATTTCTACCGTCCTCATCTCCTACATCTTCAGTGTATCGTTGAACCATTCACAGCACATTACAACGACCTTAACACGCCCATTCACACATATTCTATTCACGCATGCAATAATCATGCTTACACACGGCACACAGTTCACAATTATCGTTCACATTACATGGCCCTTGGGCCCACATTTTCACAATATTCATTCAAATATACGGCACAAGTGTCCATACTCATTCTATCACACAACATTTACATACAATCCACATCCATCAATTTCGGATCAACACACATCATGTTCACATATCACGACACATGACCCACATTACATTTGTCAGCAATTTCCTACCCACTAACTCAGCCACAACACAATATTAAGCAAAATAATAACAATTCATGCACAAAATAGTAGGATAGAGTCCCCTTTACCTTGGATTGACGTCCCACGCACTAAATCTACCAAGAAGTGCTCCTCCTCACGGATTTCATTCTAAACACATGGAGAAACTCCATGAGAACCCAGGAGAACTACGAAAACAGAGAAAGGGAATGAATAATCAAAACCCTAACCATTAAAACTTACCTCCAAGCATTCTCCATATGGATTTAACCTTCAATCAAGCTCCCAAACGGCTTTGGAGGCAATTAATTGGTGGAATAGGGCTTTGGGAACGAGAGGATCAAAGGAATTTCGAAGGGAGAAGGAGAAATAACTCTCCCCGAACCCTAACCCCCTTTAAATCCTTTCTGGTCGCGATACTCTCGCTACAGCGACACGCCCTCACGCTGCAACGAAAATCTCAGAAAAAATTATACTCTGATTTCTACAGAATCTCGCTACAACGAGACTGCACCCAGAAATGCACCTCAAACTGTCGCTCTGTCGCTACAGCGAGATGTCTCTCGCTACAGCAAGAAGGCGACAGTTCTGATCTTTCCTTCCAGAGCCCTCTCGCTGCAGTGAGAACAACCCAGTATCATTCCCTACATTTAGACACTTAGCCCATTTTCAGCCTATCCAGTCATACACATATATACACACATACATATTCACAATATATATCTAAAAATACATACATAAATATACATTTAGATTTATATAATTATCAATAATTAATATTACAAAAATTCGGGGAGTTACACTATTGATCCCATTCATCCTTTTTAAGAGTGTTGCAACACAATAGTTCTTCAATGAATTGTTCACTCTAAGTCTCGAAATTGCTCAATTCGTTATATGAAAAGAAAAGGCTCTACAAGTTTAGATAGAATAGAAAAATTTTCTCATGCAAACCTCTTCAGGATCTTAGAAATATATGAAGAAATCTAAAATTTCAAACAAGGAGATATTATTGTGACAAAGTATTACACATGTAAAAAAACCTTATGGAACAAACTTGAAATCTTGAATCTCATCATGTTTGCATGTGTAATACCAATTGTACTTGTGGAACTCTCATGAACTTGAAGAACCAAAGAAATACTAATATTGTAAGATTCTTAAAGTTTTTGAATGAGCAATATTTCACTCTTAGATGTCAAATTATGCTTATGGACCCTCTTCCAACCACCAACAAGTTTTTCTCTTGTATTTCCCAACAAAAAAGACAATAGTCACGTACTTTTTAAATAATTGTATTAATTATTTTTCAGCTTGTTAATTTTAGGTTTTTTAGTTCTTTTTTTTTTCTAGAATGTCTATCAGTATATTGATAAGTGCTTAATTTGAGTTATTGTTTATGTTAATTTGAGTACTTAATTGCTCTAAAGCTAAGAATTTGAATGTCCATTCCCTCTATAATCATAGAAATTCAAGTTAGTTAACCTAGTTAATTTTAACATTGAGATAGAGATTCATTCTTACTCCCTTTTTGCTTAATTTATGATCTTCAGGAGCTTATTTTAAGTAGAAGACATATAGCAGCCAAATCAATTCTCGCTCAAGCGAAGTATTTTCACTTGAGCGAGAATATGCACACCAGAACAAAGCCTCTGTCTTGTTTTTGCTCAAGCGAGGCACTTTAACTTGAGCGAGAATGTCTTTTTCGCTCAAAGTGAGACTTTCTCGTTTGAGTGAAAATGCATTTATTCCAGTTTAAACAAGGAAAATTAGAGGGAGAAGGAGACAAGTAGAGTGAGGAACACAACATAGAGAGGAGATTTAAGGCAAGAAAGATTGAGGAACCAACTATATCTCTTTTCTCTTTTTATTGCTTTGTAATAGCTATCATGGGTAGCTAGAACCCTTGTAGGATTAGATGTAATCTTCTACTCTGAAGTATTTTGATAGTTTAATTATGATATTTATGATATTTCCTTCTCTTTATATAAATGTTGGTGGTTCCATTGGTTTTTAATGTTTGGTTCTATTTTATGAAATAGTCTTTTATCTAGGGTTAGTTAGTTGGAAAACAAATTTTAAACTCAGATTTAATGGAATTCACTCAATGTTTTGTGATTCTAGGGATAGGGTCCAATATATTGATTGCTTATCAGCGTTTGTACTTAATGCACGGAGGATTGGTTGAATAATTGAGGAATTGTTATTCATTTAATGCTTTTAAGAACTTTGTATGGAGGAATCGATATAAAGATTAATGAGAGAGTGCATCTACATTTATATACTAGTATTTACATGTTTGATCATCAAAATATAGAAGGGAAAAAATGATGAAATCCAATCCCAGATCAACTCGTAACCTTTTATCCACTAAACTTTTACTTTGTTTTCTAGTTAATTGCACTTCTCATTCATGAACAAATTGCAAATATTTACTTATTTTCAATTTTAAATTTTATAAAGGATAGTAGAAGTTATTGATATAGCTGCCGATCTCTGTGGATACAACAAACTCCTTTATATTATAGCGAAAACTTGCTATACTTGCCAAAACTTCAACATATATGTATACTTAAATTCTTCTTTTATATGTTTTTCAACATTCAGTCTTTCTCTACTACCTTCAACTCTTCTTCTCTTTTTTGTGAGATGCATTAATTGTTAACTAGTACTTGATGGAATGGAACCATAACAAGCTATCATTTGAGTGCAGTTCTGTGCTAGTTCCACAAGGAAAACAAGCAACAACCAATGGAACAATAGAACCATGAGACTCTCTATTGTTTAGACCAACTACTAGACAACAATGAAAAAGCCAGTGGGTGTGCTACGATCAAGGTTAAAGGAAAAACTTTATTACTTACTCTAAAGATTTTAGTAGGAAGATGGATCCAAGACATGGATGGAAATTCATATTAATTATAGTAGCTATACCAAACAAGTCTTTAGAAAACAACACAATAAAGCAAAATGGGTGCTATGATAATGCTTGATAGGACAAACTGAATGAAGGTATTGTTAATCACGAGATACATATAAAAATATGAACGATTTTACTAACCTGTGCAATATTGCACAACATAAGAAGTTATATATAATAAGTTTTTATTAAAAATTACAAAATTTAATGCAATTTTATGACAATATTAAATGCTACAATTTTTTTTATAAAAATTTACTATATATAACTTCTTATAGTGTGTAATATTGCATAGTTACAAAAATTGAAATATGAAATAGCATAATGTTATCTCAGTCTCTTCAAGGAAAGCAAACCTTATTAGAATACCACTCCAGAAAGAGGGGGGAGGTTATATGATTTCCTACAAAAAATTGTTAAATCCTAAATTCACAATACATATGTAAAAGTAATACAAAAACAGTTCAGAGCTGATCCATAAATTGAATATCCTGCTAGTGCCTACTGGATATGACAGAATCAATTCTTTTGAATCTATATTAGCTATGGAGGCAACTTTTTGTTCAGAATGCCACGGTTAGTTTGTTACATATCCATTTCCCTCAATTTTATGTGGTGCTTTCGTGTCCCTTTCTCAATTTCTCAGACAGAAGAAGCAGATAAACAATCACAAATTAGTCAATTTTTTTCACTGAAGAACTAGGATTTGGCTTGGAAGTGCTTTGCATTAGTGTAGCTGGTATGAGCCAAGAAGTTGCTTTAAATGCCCATTTGAACTGTTTTAAACATCTCACCCAAAATCCTGTGTCACTCTACTCAATCTACCCAATGCTTCATAGATCTCCTTTGCTTTAGGATGTGATATATCTCCAGAAACAAATCCTTGGATGACCTCTTTTACCTCAATGCAGCTCCACCCCGGTTTCTTCTTGAGATCCCTTTCACTCATAACTCTCCTTAATTCTTCCACTTCATTCCATCTTCCAACACTCGCTTTCACATTACTCAAAAGAGTATAGTATCCAGCATTATTAGGTTCCAGTTCCAAAAGTCTTAGTGCTGCATATTCTCCAAATTTTTTATTTCCATAAATTCTGGAAGCTGCTAAAAGAGCACCCCAAATCCTGCTATCAGGTTGAATTATCATTTTCAATATTATGGCTAAGGCCTCTTTAAGCAACCCGCATCGACCCAAAAGATCCACAATGCAAGTATGGTGATCCAAAGCAGGCTCAATACCGAAACACCATTTCATAGAATAGTAAATGTTGCAGCCTTCACTGACAAGGCCAGAGTGGCTGCAAGCAGATAGTAAGCTCAAGAAGGTGACCGAGTTTGGTTGTACTCTTTTCTCGATCATTAAATAAAAGCACTTCAAGGCATCAAAGCCAAAACCATGGGAGCCAAGTCCATCAATCATTGTTGTCCATGCCACAACATCTTTGACAGGCATGCTATCAAAACATGCTATGGCGGAAGACATGTTGCCACCTCTTAAGTACATATTTAAGATTGATGTCTCCAAGTGAGCAGTACCATCTACAGGTCCATTAAAAAAGTTCTTTATAAGGTAACCATGAACCACTTTGCCCAATTTCAAAGCCCCCAAGTTTGCATATACATCAAGTAGATGTCTCCAAATTTCAGGGACAATATCAAGATCATCAGCTTGCATTTGTTGGAACAAAACTATGGCCTCCATAAAAGAACCATTTTGTATGAAACCTGACATCATAGCACTCCACGTGATGTTGCTTTTAAAATGAATTTCACTAAACAGTTGAACTGAAATTTCCAATTTCCCACACTTGGCATAAAAGTCAAGCAGAGAAGTCAACAGAACATCATCAGAAAACCCTGTTTTTATGACCAAGCAGTGCATGCCTTCACCCTCAGAAAGACTACCAGATTTTGCCAATGCCGATATAACTAATGTTAAAGTTTCAATGTTCCATGAGTTCACTTCTAGGCTGTGCATTTCTTTGAACAAACCAGCCACTTTTATCACGTCCCCTTCCGAGGAGTAAAACGAAATCAAAATATTCCAGGAAGCCACATCCTTCATGTTTACTTCACTAAATAAAAGTTCCACTTCTCTGGTACTTCTTCTACTAGCATACATTTTCAAAACCGAATTTTTCACAGACCAATCCATTAGTAATCCACTCTTCACTGCATACCCGTGAATTGAAGTTCCCTCTTTTAATGTTGTGGAAGCACAACACGCTTGCAACATCACAATAAGCGTAACCGAGTTTGGCTCCAATTCCATCCTCATTTCATTGAACAAATCACAGGCCACACCAACCTGTCTCCCAGAACCATATCCAGCAATCATCAAAGTCCACGAAACCACGTCCCTCTGCAACATTTCATCAAACACGCGAAGGGCATAACCAACACACCCACATTTCACATAAACATCAATCATGGTATTACAAAAATACAAATCCACATCCAAACCCATTTGAGTTGCTACACAGTGGATCATTTTCCCATACACAGCATCAACCCTCATGGATGATAAGGCTCGGTTCACTATTGGAAAAGTATAAGTATCATGGGCAACACCCATTTGTCTCATCTCTTTGTACAGTGACAAAGCTGAATGGAACAGTCCCAAATCAACATGGGACCTTATGATCAAGTTCCACATCATGGGTGTGTTAGGTTCATCTTCAAAGGTTGTTTTCAACACCCCAATGACACTGTTAAGGTCATGAAACTGTGCATAAAAAGTGAGGATCTTTGAAGCAGCGGAATTGGTACTGTGCATCAATGAGTTAGAGACAATGAGAAAGGCATGGGCTTTCTTCAGCGTTGGAAGATCGTGGCATGAGTTCAACACAGAGAGGGTATTGTGACGTGGACGTTTCACGTGATGGGTGTGAAGAAAACGAAGGTGTTTAAGGACATGATGATGAGTAGAAAACAAGGGAATTTTGAACTACTTCACAATGAAATGGGTTTGATTATTACTGTGAAGTTGATGCTTAGGAATGAGAAATAAGATTGTATTGGTCAGAGGCGCATAAGATCATCAAGGGGCATAAGATCAAGGGCAACATGCATGCTATCTTCTACGGTTTGATAGTAGGAAGAAAGAATTCCTTATCAATTTCTTCTTCTCCCATTGGCTCTCAATTTTGGCAATGATTGATAGAATAAGAGACGTCCAATCAATTTTGTAAGAATTGGGAAAAAGGAAAAAAAATGAAAACCATCAAACTTGCACGTAATTCATATCAACAAATAAACCATTGTTGGATTTTTGCAATCAAATTTCGTAGCGTTGGTTAAACGAAAATCTAAACAGGCTTTTAATTGTGGGAAATTTTTTTTTTTAAATGTCATTAGATGAGTGTCTAAAAAGGTAAGTTCTGAAAAATTAACTCAAGTTAAATTAAATTATATTCATCTAAATAATCTCATGAAATGAATAGCTGTATAAATTAATGATATTTTATTTATAAAAATGTAATAAAAAGCTAATATAACTTTTAATATAATGTCATAACTTCATTGATACTTACTAAATATGTTTTGAATTTTATGCTTGATCTAATGAAACCCGCATCCCCACCACTTTCATCTCTTATTCTTAGGTTATGTAAATTAAATATAAACATTTTTAACTTTTCTTTCCATATCCTTTTAACTCCTTACACTTTCACTTCATGGAATGCTAATGCTACTAACAATTTATCGTAATAATTACTTTCTTTAATTTACTTTTTTCAACTACTTATTAAAAAAGTTTCTATAATAACGTAATCATTTAGGTTTTATTATCTTAAAGTAATTTAACAACTGATCTCTTAAACTCAGTATAAACTAAAAGTTTACCATTTCAATTAATCTTTTCCATTGTTATGATTATGACACGCACAAAAGATGTAACAATATTGATCAGGTTGTGAACAGGGATTTTCTTGTGGCATTTAGTTGAACGGGTGGACTTCAGGGTTAGAAAGGGTAGCCGGCGAATATAGCTCTTCTTGGGATGGAGCATTTTGTAGGACACACAGTGAGTGTTAATAGAAGTGCAGGACATATATATATATATATGCATGATACAATATAGATTGCTATGGACAATAGTAAGAGAAAATTTGTTCAGAGACTATTTGATAGATATATGATTGCTTAAATTAAGCTATTAAAATAAGTTAATTATTTCTATCAAGAATCTCATGTAATATAATTATGCTAACACCCTCCCTCAAACTCAAGGTGGCACGTAGATCGCAACTTGAGTTTGCTTAAGAGATTTTGATATATCAATTTTTTTGTAAAAAGATTAGTTGTTTGGACAGTAGAGGTTACAGAAATTAACAGAATTGTACCATTAGTGACATGGCTTATAAATTAACAATCAATTTCAATGTGTCTTATTCACTTATAAAAAATTGTCAATGTGTTTTATTCACTTACAAAAAATTGTCATTGTGAGAAATTTGAATAGCACTTCTATGTCATAATGAAGCATAGTAGTTAAAGAATATGTCAAGTAAGCTAATAACCATCATAATCAAAACAATTCAGCAGTAGCGTTACCAAGAGCACAATATTCAGATTTTTTGCTAGAACAAGAAGCTATAATTTGATTTTTACATTCCAAGAAATAAGAGAATTTTCCAAGAAAAAACAATAAGCTTTTGTAGTTCGCCGTTTCTTTAGATCACTGCTCCAATCAACATTAGAGTATCCACATAAGACCAAAGAAGAGTTTGCACTGAAGTGCAGACCATTCATGAGTAGTAATGAAGTAAACAAGACTACTAACAAATTTTCGATACAAAGTAGAATTATCAAGTGGAGTGCCATCAAGTGATATAAGCTTGAAATTCAGTTGCAAGGTGTATTCAGTTTTGTTATCTGTGATGTGATATAGGCTTGAAAAAGTAAGTAAGATGCATACTTGACTTGGGAGAGACAATAATCATTAGAACTTTGGAAAAATTCAAGACCAAAAAATAACTTAGAAAATCAAGATTGTTCATTTCAAAATTTTGACTGAGTGTTGTAGTTTGAAATTCTAGACTTATCACCACTTACGATCATATCATTAACATAAAATAGTAGAAGTACAATTTCATCCTTAGTTCAGCAAGTAAATAATGCATAATCATGTGGACTAGAAACAAAGCCAAATTGTGCAATAATGGAACTAAATTTGGCATACCAAGCTCAGGAAGCTTGCTTTAACCCTGTATAAGGCTCGTCGAAGCTTACAAACTTTATGAAGAGAATGATAACGGGGGAGGATGCATATAGACTTCTTCTATCAAATCACCATGCAGTAAGGCATTTTTGACATCCATGTAATGAAGTTTCCATTTACAAACTGCAACAATGGATAAGAGACTAAGAATAGATATTACTTGAGTCACTAGTGCAAAGGTTTCTTCATAGTTTATCCCATATTCTTGAGTACACCCTTTAGCTACTAAGCAAGCTTTGTAACGCTCAACAATCCTGTTGAAACGAGTCTTTATTTTATGAACCCACCTACAGCCAATAAAGGTCTTGTTAGGAGGAAGATCAAATATGGGTTTTCTTGCATAGCTTGCTGACAAAGGAGTTAGTACTAGCCTCACGATAAGAAGTGGGCTCAGAGAGAGTTGCAATAGCAGAGTAACAATCTTAATCACTAAGATAACGAGGAGTTTCTCTAACTCGAGTGGAATAACGTGGAGCAGAGGCAGGATGAACAGTTGTAACAGATTCAGTAGGAATAGATGGAGAGGATCGATCTGGAGCTCTTCAAAGTTACTTGTATCAAAACTTGGAAACAACTAAACAGAAGAACTGGTAAGAAAATATAGACTTGGTGTTGAGAGAGTGTTGATATTTAGAAAGTGAGGAGAACGGTATTTTCCCAAAAAGTAACATGGCGATAGATGCATAATCTATTAGAAATAGGATCCCAACAACGATATCCTTTGTGTTCAATGTCGTAACCTAGATAGCAACATAAATGAGCACGAAGTTATAATTTTATATGTTCATGAGGATGTAAGAGAACAAAACAATCGCATCCAAATGGTTTAAGAATTGAATAGTCAGGAGACGTACCACACAATTTTCCAAAAGGAAACAAATTTTGAAGGACCAAGGTCGGAAGAAGACGATTGATAGCATAGACAACATTAAGAGTAGCTTCCTCCCAAAACTTTTTTGGACACAAGAAAGAAAGGAGAAGAGCATGCTAGGAATCAAGAATATGACAATGCTTTCATTCAACCCGACCATTCTACTTAGAGGTGTGAGGACAAGAGCGTTGGATAATAACGCCTTGCTGATTCAAAATTGAAGTAAAGAGGAATCTTGATATTCCATTGCACTGTCGTCTGTACCAAGAATTTTAATAGCACAAGATAATTGAGTTTTAACCATATTTGCAAAATTGATAGAAGTTTGAGATAAGCCGGATCGGTGTTTTAAGAAATATATTCATGTATACCAAGAATAATCATCAACAAATAAGACAAAATAGCGAAAACCATTTATTGTACAAACAGGGGAAGGGCCCCAAATGTCAAAATGAATTAGACCAAATGCAATGTCTAAAGTAGAATGACTATTTGCAAAAGATAGTGCAGATTGTTTGGCAAATTTACAATTTAAACATATAAAAGACTCAAACTTTACGGATCCTGACAAACCACGAGAAATTGAAGTTTGAATTTTGCTAGCTGAGATATGACTAAGTTGAAGATGTCATAGGTGAATGGATGAGGTAACAGTCGCTACCAATATAGGTGTTTGAGGAAGATGGGGTGATTGAAGCTCAAATAATTGACCCACCTGAGACCCATTCCAATAATTTGTTTCGTTTGTGGATCCTGTACTTGGACACCAGAAGGAAAAAAAAAGAATATTTAATCTTTTTTCTCACAATTCACCAATATATATAAGATTGAGTGTCAAGTTGGGAATATAGGAGGTATCAGGAAGGCTAAGATTGGAGGTAGATATATGACCAGCATGGGTGATGTTCATTTTATTACCATTTGTTATGTGCATTTGTGGTAGGGAAGAAACAGGCATTGCAAAAGGGAAGATTTTAATATTATTAGTCGTATGATTACAACATGTAGAATCAAAGAACCAATGAAAGTTACCTGAAGTAGTAGACACGGCAGTAGAGGTATTAGAAGATATAACCTGTTTTAGTAAAGCCTCAAGATCACTCACAGTGATGGCAGTAAAGTTCTCTGTTGCAGCAGAGTGATGGATGAAGATCTAAACTTGGAGACACTCTTACATTTTGAGGATCCACCTTTCAGTCTTGGGAGGCGTATGGGACAATTTTCAAGAACATGGACAAAACCATGACAATATCTGCATTCTACAGTAGGGCAAGTGGAAAAGTAATGGCCGTTTTTATGACAATTCTTACAAAATAGATTGTTGGGTTTCTGTTGTGAGGATCGAATAGTTGCAAGAGTTGTATCTAATTTAGGAGTTTTTATCTAGGCTGAGGCGAGTTTCTTCAAAAATAATTTCCTAACTGGTATCAAACGAGTTTCTTCAAGTGGATGTTGATGCAGTAGAGAGGCATGGATAGCTTCATATTCTGGTCGGAGAGCCATGAGAACCTGAATTAGATGAAGATGGCCGTCACTAATTTTGGCCTGAGATATTTGATTCCAAATCGGTTGAACTTGAACAAGGAAATCATTCACTAATTGACCAACATCTTGCTTGAGATTAGAAGTGTAGTCTACAATTAATAGTAGTGGGCTAGGCTAGTGGTTTGATACCAGTTAGCTAAGAAATCCCAAATTTCTTTTGTAGAGTCATAATTAGAAATTGAACATGAATTGATGGAATATATGTATTGTGGAACCATGTGACGATCTGATGGTTTTTACTATCCCATCCTCAAGACAATCTACAAATTTTGTATCAGACTCCTTTCAGCTTTGGTCGGTTTTGTATGTCTCTGGTAGCTACATGCCAAAGCTTGTGACCTATCAGAAAGCTTTTCATCCCTTGAACCTAGAAGTTATAATTGGAGTTGTTCAAGGTTGTTGTGATAGGTTTTGATACACCAAGTTTCTCCCTGATAAGAGGAAAAAAGGTTGTTGAGATTAGAAAAGATAAGGGGGATGTAACAAGGTAAAACAAGGACAAGAAAAAAAAGGGTTCAGGAACTTAAGCTCTAGAACCATGTTAATAAAAGAGGTGGAGAACACAAGGAAGTATCTGTTTTGATATATGTGTACATGATACAATATAAATTGCTATATATAATAGCAAGGTAACGAAAATAAGGAAATTTGTACAGGAAATATATTACTGATATGATTGCCCAAATTAGGCTATCAGAATCAGTTAAGTTTTTCTATTGAGAATCTCCTGTAACTTTGGTTTATCCCTGTAATTACGCTAACATGGAGAAACTGCGACACAACTCCTCTAATACATGTATCTTTCTCTCTCTTACTGAGAAATTGCGGGTAAAAGTTCTTTCACATCGTTTCCTGCTGTCTTGCAACGCATGCTTTATAGTTGTGCTTATAATATTGTGATTCTGGTTTTACAGTCATGCACCGCAATTATGTACGCGTCGCCTGTGTTTGCCAATAACTTTCTTTTTATAATTCCGGGAATGGCAATATACCTGCAACCATGTCATGGTTCAATGATATAGAGATCAATTGTAAAAGCTTTTTTTGTTGTTGTTACATGATGAAGTTCGACATTCGCTGCGAAACGACAATTTGTCATTTTGGCATGGTTTGTGGCTAGAAGCTGGACCCTTGTCTCTGGGACTGTTCAGTAGCTACACCGGTCTGGACTGCTCTTTTGGGCTTTACCACAAAAGAGTGGCTTCAAGGGGAAAGATATAATATATGGAATCTGAATTTTGCTGCTAATAATACTGTGGTTATGTTTTTGTGAAACATAAACATGTTCCCTGTACAAGTTTTTGGCAACTGTGTGGGAAACGTGCCTAAGGAAATGTATATTCTTTTAGTGGGGAAGCAAGTTCTGGTATGATGATATGCATGCATACAAGGTTATCAAACTCTAGACTCTTGAATCTACTTTAAAGATTGCATCTCTAAGACACAACTGAGCTGCCAAAGTCATCCATCTCACATGTTCCTTGCCTCAATAAGGTGAACAAAAATTTAGACAAGGTTTTTTATAGAGTAAAAATTTATTTTAATTCCTGAAATATGCAGGTTGTTCAAATCAATTTTTTCAAATTAAAATTTTAAATATTAATTCTTGAAATTAACAATTGTCAATTACTTTAATCTTTATTGTTAAGAAAAATTAATATTGAGTAACTGAATAATGATTTGTTATGTCAAATAATATGTGTAAGAACAAAAAATAACTTTGTTTTATAATTTTTTAAAATATTTTATTTTTGTCCTTGATTTTTGAGATTTTTGGAAATTAAGATCCTTCCTATTCTTTCCTTCTATATGTTGTCTTTTTTTATGATGTTTTTTTCTCCATCTACTGCTCAACAACTCTACTGAACCAAATACTTGGAGGTGGAGGGAGGAGGGGAAAAGGATCAATAGTATTTTGGCTAAATGATAGGGACATCGATAACAAGGAGTGGTTCGTGATAGTTGAAAAAAGAGATGGCAGAGAGAAAACATTGATGATGATAAAATGACTCGTGGTGCAGGATTTGAGGGCAGGAAGAAGGTCAAGAGCATTTTACTGAAATGACAATGATATCAACAATAAAGGAGTGATTTGTGATGGTTGCAGACAAAGAGGGGATAACAAAAGAATAGTTGACAATGACAAAGTAACTCATGATATGAATGTTGAGAGTGAGGGAAGAAGACAATCAATGATGTTTTTATTAAATAACAATATCGACAGTAAATAGTTCACGATAGTTAAAGGCGAAAAAGATACTCGAAGAAGAAAACAAAACATAAAAGAAGAGGATGAAATATTAGTGCTCAAAAATCTTAAAAGACAAAAATGAAAATAAATCATTTTTTTTAAAATTCTAAATTAATTATTGTTTTGTACTTTTCAATATATCACTTAATGTAACAAATTATCACTTCATTATTCAATTTTAATGTATCTTAACCACAAAAGTTAAAAAGATTGACAATTATTAATTAAGAAAGTAAAATTTAAAATTTAGAAAACTATCGTTTCATATTTTAAAGACTAAATGGAGGTTAACTTTTTTGTTTTTTTCATGACAGTGCAAGAAGTTTCCTTTTTTATTTCTACAACCATTCCTACGCCACCCTTGCCTAATTCTTTGCAATTCCCAACATAGGCGTTGACTTTAAAGCTGTTGACAGAGGGGAAGGTCGTCTGCTTTCACTGCTTAGACGAGAAGGTTCCTGGAGATCACAAAATGTTTCCTATTAACCATCTTTGAAATACGCCCATTAGGATTCAGTGGTTGTGAGTAGTTAATTCTGTACACTCAACCACAGCAAACTTGCGCACCACTCTAAAATGTCCTTAAGAAGTTTGAAGAATTTCTCATGGATCTAGCATATTTCACCGTATGATTTGGTTTTAACTTTATCCATAAGAATGCGTAGCCGCGTAGCACCTCACAGCTCCTGGCTCTGGGCATTCAACCAGAATATAAGCAGTGGCTCCACCTCCTCAACACATGATAGATGTTTTGGAAAACCACAAAAATTGAAATAAACCCGGCATGATGTCTAATTGCCTACATCCTCTTCCACTTTATCTTTGGCAAGTTCAACAAAAGTACCTCTCATTTGAAATTTTCATCTGTAATTACTTGTAGTTGTAACATCTGAAAAGCTTATGACTGGAATGGAAGAAAGAAAAATAGAGGACATCATAACACGTTTCTCGTAACCAACGGGGACCAACTGAACAACAAAATCTGGAGATGTCGTCACTCCACTGCTAGTTAATTCAATCAGTAGCTGGGCAAAAATGGTAAAAGACAAAATACAAAATAAAGAAAATATAGAATATTTATGGCTGCTGCGGTGCTGCACTATTGCCAGCATAACAATATTTATTGCTTTGGGATAGAAATGGGAAAAAATAAAAGGCAAAATAAAGAAAATGCCAGTCATTAAAAATTAGAGTAGCTTGCTCGGTAATACCTTCATAAAGAACCAACCATCTAAATAGCATTCAATGAACAACGCAACAAACTTCCATGATAGTTCACTAACAGTCCAATCAATGATTTTACAATCTGAATCAATCAATCACTTCATAGATTGAATGACTCCTATAGTTAGTATGCATACTGATAGTAATATATAAAACAGCATACCAATTCTTCTTCCTTGCTGGCTGAATAAAATCCAGGTTTCCAACTGACTCTTACAAATAGAAGACAAGGAAAACCTGCTGAATGGTGAGGCTGCTCAAATCACGGCTAATTGCTAATACTATATTTGTTATATACACTACTGGGCTAATCGCTACCAGTACCGCCACCCCTGCAGCCCTTCAGAGCTCCATCTTCAACTGATTTGAATGCAGAGTTACTGTAGTACAATTTAAGTTGTTCGTTTAAGATTCAAAAGTAGTTACCAGAATTAATATATATATATATATATATATATATATATATATATATATATATATATATATATATATCAGAATCATATTCCCTTAAATTTAATAAAAGCTCTACTTGTATATGCAGAATTCCTTTTGAGCTATTGATAACATTTTACAATAAAATAAAGTGGATTGAATGCGCAATTTATTTATTGATTTTCTAATGTGTCTATAAGAAATTAATAAATAATAAGATTTTAATTGTAATTTACCATATATAAATTCTTATTGAGTGTTTTTTGACACTTAAGAAAAATTGGTTATTTATTAGTATCCCTTCCAGATTCCTTTATGCTTTTCAGTATTAATATACCCGTTGGGAAAGACAAACAGCTGCAATTCCAGAATATTTTATGAAGCCAAATGCTAATTGAAGTTGGAACCATGACCAGATTAAATTAGACAGACTTCTGTGTAACACGCCTTTTTGGAGGAGACGTGCAATAGAAGCCTGGCTCAAATCTACCTGAATTTGCCGATGAGTCATAACTCAAGAGGGAGTTTTCTGGAGTCAAGAAATTAGGGTTGTTTTCTTCCCGCCCCCAAAGGGGTTGGTGGAATGCATCAAACTGCCATGGTTGCTGATATTGTTGTCTGCTTCCATTCTCTGTGATTTCGGGCCACATGACGGGTGCAACTGAGGGAGGGAAGTTACAGTCCATTAGAGACACTCCCTACAAGTTATAAACAAAATTTTATCAGCATGAGGAAATTAAATTAAAATCTGCACATCGACGGAAAAAGCTGAGGTGGCTTTATTGCTTCATCCTCAAATTCACAACCTATACCAGGTCCATTGAACACATCAAAATACTCATTTTCAAATCCATATACTAGCCCCAGACCTCAATTTAAGGATGGTGATACGAGGACTTAAATTACTATGAGCCAGAGAATTTGTAAATACCAATTAGGAAAAGCAATCATGTGTAATAATTTTTGTGCTCACATTGTTAACTCTAATTCAGTGTTTACAGTTTTCTTAATTCTTAGTTGGCCGGTCATGACAATCATTGACAACAAGGCATCTACTTCACTATCCCATTTTCAAGCACACTATTTCAGTTTTTGGACAAGTAATATATACAATGTAAAACACAATTAGATAGGGCATGGTAAAATTTTGATCAATTACATGCTAATCAATGCAGAAAATCGACAATGAGAAGATTGTTTAAACTACATCAGAACTGCTTAGACTGCTTAATACCACACAACTGTCGATGACCACAATAAAACTAGAACTGAAATTATTACAGACGGTGATGACATATATTATTCCTCAAATGTTTCAAAGCCAAGCTAGACAAGTTCATGCACTTTAGGAGTATGATCTTCTTATGTCAAATTTAACATGACGAGGTCATGTTCAAATGCTGTGTCTGTTTCTCTCCATGTGTCTATTTATCAAGAGAGAGAGAGAGAGAAATACAAGATTTGGACATGATCTATCACGTACATGACAGGTTCTATAACCCATGCACTTCAGATGGTATCGAACCAAGACAAATAGATAAATTCATTTTTCCTGTCGCCATAACAGAGATTAATACTTACTTCAGTACCCAATAAGCTGTCAAGGTTGAAATCAATTACTGGGTTAACTGCTGCCAGTTTCATTGATAATATCTGAAATCAGAGCATCGTATTGATGAAAATAGCTCAAATATTACAGCATTGTTTTCCAAAGGAAAGATCCTATGAAATCTTCCCAATCAATAAAAACACAGTTGCAGTTCACTTGCTAAGTAAATTTACTTCGATATAATATCATTACAAAGTAAAAAATTTGTCATTTTATAATTTTCAAGCTATAACGTAACTAAACAAGCACAATTCTAGGAACATGCATTTTCAAGCCTCGTTTATTACTAGATTTATATGAAACTGAATTCCATAATTTGGAAGAAGAAACGATCTGCAATTTATAATGTCATATAATGCAAAATCATAGGAGCATGACCGCTTTAATGGGTTGGGTATAGGTTAGTGTTTTATTTGTTCCAATGACATTCAAAATACCACAGTAACTTTCAAAGGGCTAGTGGGCTACATATAAAGATGGTTAAGAAGGAACACCAGTCACTTCTTTTTTAAAAGTTTGTACACACTATCGACAATAATATGGAGAACCAGATTGCTTCTAACTACTTTATCCTTCTCATTGTTTGTCAAAACAATTTCCTATAATGTCAATGATATGAAAATCTGACCTCCACTTCATGCTGGAGAGATTGCACATGGTTGATAATTTTATCCAAAACCAATGCCGTTCCTGATATCTGTATAGCAAACATTGTCACGTGAGCTATCATTGACTTACAAGATTAACTGTTTTGAGAAAAATTAAATACAATCTAAATACACTAAAAAGTAAAAGAGGTAGATGCGCATTAAGGGTTCTAAATTAAACATAAAAAGGGCCAATAGTAGCCTTAACACAAATGTGATCGAACATAAATAGTACATATAGTAAATCAGTAATTAGGTCACAGAAAGGCTAGGGTTGTGTATTTAGCTTAAGTTTAGGCGACATTAGTTTAGGAGATAAATCCGGGGTGCGTATCTAGCTTAAGGTGACATTTGCTTGGGAGATAAATCTTTGGGTGTGTATTTAGCTTAAGCTCAGGCGAGATTAATTTGGATCATGAACACTGTTCAAAGCACCATAGCCAGTTATGTTTTCCTTGTGGTAGATGCACTCCAAAAGGAATGCTTTCTTTTATTTACCCCATTTTCGTCATCCCATAAATGATTGATGGATACCAAACTCCTAGAAAAAATGGCACCATCACCGTCACAAGATGGATTAATATTTCAATTGCTTAGGGGACCCATGCATGCTAGTTTCAACACACCCCCCTATGTGTCTCCCAATAGTTTAAAGCCAGAGTCCAGCAATAATACTAGCCCCCGCTATCGAGCCCCACACGCCCACCCTTCTGTCTCTTCCATAAGGCAGAAAGGGTGGAGAAAGCAACGAGGGTGGATTGCCTTAATTGTCTTGTACAAGCCATGACGCATATTTATGTTAGTACTTTTCAATATACAACGACTAATTTATGGCCGAGAAGGAAAAAAAATAAAGAATCACTAAATTACTTTTTATGCAATATTCTTGTCTTGATGTCACTTTTTGTACACTTCACGCACAGCTTCTTTCAAATTGACATCTAACATCCAGAGTCAGAGAAGCATGTTACGGAAACGAAACTAGTTGATGAGGGGAAGGAAAGGCTTGCTATTAGTTGCCTCCATCTCCAAGCAACATCACATGGATATAACACGGCTTATAGTGTGTTGTTTAGATTTCAGTTAATAACCTCTAAACTATGGTTTACCCAAATAATCATAATTAGGGACTTATTTTAATGACAATCCAAATAGAAGACCAAGATCGGAATGACAAAGGCTTTTGGTTTTTATGGGTGTGTTGGAATGATGAAGCTAACCATCAAACAGTCTTGTTAAGTACGTAGCAAGTTGTTATCAATCTTCAAAAAGCAAGACCATAATAGGCACAGGAAGTGAAGGGAGCATGAAATTACAAAAATGCCATGTTGACACCGAGTGGAAGTGAGCACTTTTCTTGATGCAAAAGCATGCACTTTTTTTAGGTGAAAAGGTGACAATGACACAATCTGGTTTACTAAACACCATAATCCAGAGACATAATCGCACTTTTGGGAGACAAATCAGACAGATAATCATGGCATAATCATGCAAACTGAATAAATCACAATTAATACCAATAGTTATATTTATATGCCCTTAAAAACAAGGAAAGGGACCAACCTTATTGCAACCGGGGACCAGGTCTTGTAAAAGTTTCATCCGAGCGTTTATCTTCTCTCTCCTAGCCTACAACACAAATAAATAAAGATAAAATAAAACAATATCATTAAAAATATCTAACTTAACTTTTATTATAAATAACTGTAATTAAAGTAATTAATTAATGGTTAATTAAAGAGGCTACCCTTTCTGCTAAGCTATGGCTGTCAGTGGCTTGACCTCGACGAACTCGAACGTGAACGTACGGAAGCTTCTCGCCGTCGCCGGAGCTTTCGTCGGCTACGCTCTTGCTCTTCTTCGACGACACTTTAACCTGCGTTTCATAGAACCAGTGAATTCACCCAAATTACCGAAACCCTAATTCTCGAGAACGGTTGCAATTGAATCGCTAGGTCTACCTTCTTCTCTCGCTCCTTCCTCTTCGCGCCCTTCGGGTTCTTGTTCTCAACCGCGGGATCGGAGACGCACCCACCGCCCTGAGTAGAACTCGGGTTGGAATCAGTTTCCGGCTGCTCGTGCTTTACCGCCGGCGAGTTATCACCAGCGAACACAGAGAACCTGGCTGCGCGTTCGATCAACGCGGCGTTGGAAGGGAAAGTCAAGTTACCGCCGCCGGAAGCGAAGGAGCTCATCGGATTGTGGCGAGGTGGTTTTCCGGCACGCTCCGGCGAGTGGAGGAGCTCCACGGCCTGCGTCGGTGGGAGCTCGAGAAGCGCGGTGAAGGAATTGGCGGTTTCCGTCGCCGGAGCCATGATTCCCTGAATTTCGTCGTTGAAGTGAATGGATTCGAGTGCCGTTTGTTCCATGATCGAATTGAACCGAACCGGACCGCCGAACTGAACCGAACCGCACTGGGTAAGAATATTGAGAAACTGGAACGGTGGTTTGATTTTGAAGTTTTGGAGAGTTGGAGAGCGTTGTGATGTTAAAGGGGAAGCATGAGAAGAGGGGGAATTGAGGAGAGAAAGAGAGTGGAAAATGGGAAATGAAAGGAATGTGTTTGGGAGTGATATAAAAAAGGGGAAGTGATTTTTAATGGCGGTCAATGTGTGTTTCCTTGCTTTCTCTCTCTTTCAGTTCAATTTTCCCTGTCTCGTGTGTTTTTCTCTGAGGGATTGCTTCTCCGCCATTTCAAGTACTACGAAAGCAACATTGCTATGCTACGGTTTCTCTCTACTCTCTACGCTTCTAGCTTTCTCAATTATACGGGTCTTTTCGTACGGTCGCAAGGGGAGCTGTTCAATACGTAGGTGTGAGGATCCGACGGTTCCATGCTTGTCCCTCTTCCATCGCCAGGCAAATTATAAGAAAATTAAAACACTTAGTTATACTTTTTATTATTACAATTTTATTTACATATAATTTTAGTAATGATTTAATTTTAAAAGTTATATATTTATAATTTAATTTTTAATATATTTCGATAGTTAAAAAAATTTAAATATTAAATATTTAAATATATTTTTTAAGTAAATATTTTTTAAAAATTAATTATAACAGTTACCAAAATAATTTTTTTTATTCACATGAAATTCAATCTTATTTTATCAAACACACTCTTTTTTATTTTTGTTTTTGAATTTAATTTAAATATTTTTATTATATTTTTAATTGTTAATTCAATAAATTCAATAAATATAGTTAAAATTGAAGCGATAAAAAATTGAATTGATATCTAAATTAAAAAAATTAAATAGAATCAAGTAATTCTAACTAATCAAGTAATTTTTACTTAGAGTAAAAATTTTGTTTAATTCCTCTTTATTTTACTTCAATTTTTCTTTATTTTCTCTTCCTAAATAGTATGTAAACATATTTCTTTAATCTAACAATTTAAATAACTATTTTTTTTTTTTTGCATCATCATACTTTAAATTGTGATTTTTATAAATAGAACTGATTAAATTTGTAAACATCATATATTCATCTCAATTCTCTAAGAATGAATAACTTGACTAAATCAGAATAGGAATAATGATTAAAGAGATGTGGTTAAATACCAAAAAAAATGAGAAATTTATTCTGTAGTTTTTGCTTAAGTTTTACTATATTCACTTAAGCTAATTTTATATAATAATAAACACACAAATTTTATTAATATTCGCTTAAGTCATTATTTTTAACTTAAGTCAAGTCAATTTCGCTTAAGCCATACTAATTTGGCTTAAGCAAAAATATGATACTCAATCTTCTTAAGTTAGACTTTATTCCCTTAAGAGAATATTAGAATATCTTGTTTAACTTAAGTAAATTAATGATTGTTGATATTCATCTAGTAAGCTATTTTTTTTCCTGTAATTCTTGCTTAAACGAGAAAAATATGACTTAAGTGAAATTTATAGAAATTATGTGAAGCAGATGCTACTACAAAAAGACATGGAAAAGATATAAAATAGCATTGAACAATATATTAATACAAAAGTTAATTTTCATAATGAATTGAAACTATGAGAATGGATAAGAAAATTTTAATTCTAAAAACCATGAATTATTAGTAATAAATAAATTTCTATTTTAGTTACTAATTTTATAATTTTTTTCAATTTTAATCTTAACATATTAGTAACTTCTTTTTAATTCTTAAATCAATAAAATGTTTGTTTTAGTGGAAATAAAATTGATTGAAAGTTTTAACAAGAGAATTACTAATAATATGCTTATTTAATATATTTTTTATTATTTTCAACTTTTTAAAATTAAAGTCAAAGTATTTATCTTGTAAATTTAAAGTTTACTAAAATATTGATTAATCATAAGAATTATATTAAATAGTATGTTAATAGCCTTCTTTTTTATTAATTGTCATCTTAAAGATCACATAACAACTTTTAGAATATAACATGTCAATGTATCAACTTAAAATTTGGCTCGTGAAATAAGCAATTTTGTTATTACTAATTTTACTTAATTATAGATATTAATATAAAATATATTTTAATATGTTAGGATTTAAATTGAATTTTATATAAATTAAAAATTAAAGTGAAAAAAAATGAAATTAAAGAGTATAATAGTCATTTATAAAATCTCAAAAATTAGTTGATTTACTTAGAGAATATTATTTATAAATATAAAATAAAATTATTTTTTTGCTTTTCCTTGCCACATTTTATGATAAAATTGTTAAAAGTTTGGTACTAATTCTTTCTTTAAAAATTATTGTTTAGTTCATAAACTTTAGATGACAATTGTGGTGCAACTAAAGAACGACAATGAATGTTCCCCTAAAAAAAACGGTGATGTCTAGTTAGAGAAAATGTTGACAGTGAGAATTAAGGGGTTAAATTGCATACCTAATTTGCCTTTATTATATATTCCATATTAAGCAAAAAGTCAATTCAAAAGACATCACTTTATTTGGTCATGTTAAACAGCGTGTTAAAAGATTGTTAAGATTGTACTTAGTCACCAAACATCAATATGATCTAGACTAAAATTAAGTTTACTTGAAGAGTGTCATGACATATACTAGGTGATTGATAGGACCTAACAAACTTTGGTCCATAAAGTTACGCATAATAGGCAATAGTCTCAATGACTAAGCTCAAATTACTTGAATTGACCTTAGATCACTTGTTCCTAACTTAATGCAATGTGAGTTATGGTGCTAAGGTGTCTTGACTAGGATAGATAAATCATTAATTACTTGTTGTTTCTCTATCAATTTTTGTCATCGTAAGGCAACCTTAAGATGACAATAGTTAAAACAATGACATCTTTTTTTTCACGTGGCAAAAGCTTAAGGATACAACATCTCTCATGTTTTGTACACTTTTAAAGCAATAATTATCTCAAGGCATGACAGTTAAGACTAAAGTGAAGGTACAAAGTTGTCCTTCCTTTCATGTACTAAGTTTTTTTTTTTTTAATTTAGTTGCTAAAATGATATTTTTGCACTCATTATCTGTCTTTAAATTTGTAGGGATTTTTTTTTCTCTTTCTCTTTTGCATTTCTTTTAGAAACTCCTTGCACTCCTTTTTAATTTTTCTTAGAAACTACTTCATTTTTCAAGCAATGTTTTCTAGGTAAATTTTCATTTAGCTTACTCCTCTAATAATTTTTTTTTCTTTTTTAGAACAACTCCTACTTCCGAGACACATTTTTGGTGAACTAACCATGGTGTGAATAGTTGGGTGAGTTGAGGGTGGTGGCAATAAAGATGGTGATAGCAATGACTTACGGAAATGTATATTTTGTTGTCACCACTAAGATTAATATAGAAATAGTTGAAAATTTGGTACCAGATAGAATATTGAATGAATGTTTCTCATTAATTTTTCAGTGTACAGTGGTACCCATTTATACAGTTATGGTAATTAATTCTATGTTAAAATCATGGATGTCAATCATACCTAATTATGCTAATTACATAAATAAGAAAAGGGAGAAAAATAGGAAAGGAAACCAGAATATTTTGCAACACTCTCTCTCGAGTTGGTGAATGAATATTTATCATTCCCAACTTGTCAATAAGATCTTGAAATTGCTTTGTGGGTAGTCCCTTAGTAAGAACATCTACCAATTGACTTCCAGATGAAACATATGTCATCTTTATAAGTCCCTAATATAATTTCTTCTTAATGAAGTTTCGATCCACTTCTGTGTTTTGTTCAATCATGTTAAACTGCATTATGAGCAATGCTTGTAACAAATTTATTATCACAAAATAATCTCATAAGAGCTTTATATTGTATCTTGAGATCATTTAGTATATTTTTCATCCACAACAGCTCTGAGATCATTCAGTATATTTTTCATTCACAACAACTCACATATCCCTTGGGCCATAGATCGGTATTCAGCCTTTGCACTTGATCTTCCTACTACATCTTGTTTTTTGCTCTTCCATGTCACCAAGTTTCCTTTTAGGAACATACAATATCCTGAAGTGGATCTCTTATCAACAACTGATCCAGTATAGTTTGCATCTGTGTATGCTTCCAACAGTAACTCACATTCTCTCTAAATCTTCTTCTCAAGTTACCTTTCAAATATTGAAGAATTCTATTTACAACTTGTAGGTGTCTCTCTTAAGGATCATGCATAAATTGACTGACTACTCTTACAGTATAAGTTATGTTAGGTCAAATATGGGATAAATAAATGAGTTTCCCAACAAGTATCTGACAATAGGCTTTATCAACTATTGAACTCTCTTCTTTGTTTCTAATTCAGTGGTTCTGCTTAATAAGAGTTCCAATGATTTTGCACCCCAACTTGTCTATTTCTTTTAGAAGATCAAGGACATATTTTATTTGAAATATGAATATGCTTATTTTTTAATAAGAAGCTTCAATCGATAGGAAGTATTTCAATCTTACGAGATCTTTTAACTCAAATTGAGCTGCTATTTTTTCCTTTAACACTTGTTTTTCACGATCATCATTACCTATAATAACCATATCATCTACATAGACCAAAAATAGTGTCAGTTTACCACCCTATGAATGTTTTATGAAGAGGGTATGATCACCTTGGCTTTGCATATACCCTATGGAAACCATAGCTTAAGAGAACCTTCCAAACCAAACACGAGGAGATTGCTTGAGCCCATATAATGTCTTCCTTAATCTGCACACATTGTCTACTTTGGAACCATATCCAAGTGATATCCTCATGTATATTTCTTTCAATTCTCCATGTAAAAAGTCATTCTTTACATCAAATTGATTTAACTCTCATACGAAGTGGGCTACCAAAGAAAGGATAACTTTGACTGTATTCATTTGCCATCAGAGCAAAAGTTTCCTCATAATCAACCCCATATGTTTGAGTATATACTTTAGCAACAAGTCTTGCCTTGTATTATTCAATGGAGCCATCAAATCTATATTTCACTATATAGACCCATATGCAATATCGTTTTGTTTTTGGGCCTTTTAACAATTTACCAAGTCTTATTTTTCTCCAAAGCATGCATCTCTTCGTTTATGGCTTGAACCTAATTCTTGTCTTTTAACACTTCATGTACTGATGCGGGGATCTGGATAGAGTCAACAGCTGAAACAAAAAGTCAAGTGCTACATGGAAAGGTGTTTAGTAGAGACAAAGTGGGAAATATGGTACTTGGCACAAGACCTTTTTTCTTTTCTCAAGGAAATGGATAAATCATTAAAATTACCTATACTTTTCTTTGGTTCAAATAGTTGGACTTGATGTAGGACTAGGTCGAG